CCCGACAGGTGCACGCTACAAGCTGCATCGTCTGTCAAGGGAGAAAGGATTACCCTGCCTTTCTTGGGGAGACTCGTGCCCATGTTGTGTGAACAACTCTGCACGAGCACCTAAGGAGGTTTACCTCCTTACCAGCCCGTGGTGGCGCGTACGTGTCTCTACTGAGATGTACGAAGGGATTGACAACCTGAAATCCTTTTACGAACGTGCCGGGAAGACTTTCTCCGGCGGTCCTTCTGCGGCACAGGATGTGCCGCGTCGTACTGCTCAACCAGACCCAGTACGTCAACTATCAGTTGGGAGCGGGGCTCCCAAGTATCCCAGGACGGAGGATAGTCGCGCCACCGGACAAGATAACTCGTCCGACGTCCGTTCACGTCGCGGTGGTTCAACAGCTGCTCAACCAGATAGCGCTGGCCACCGCGAGAGTCCTCTAATGCAGGTGGAGGAGGAGGAAAGACGCTCTCCACACGATCATTGGGATCCGTGTGTTTCCGAGATCTTCTTTGATCGCGTAACGCAAGGGTTACGCAACGATCTTGAACATGAGCGGGACAGGCGTCTCCAAATAGCGGACACTGTCTCGAAGCATCGAGCTGAGTTCGCCTATGCTCAGCTTGAGAACGAGAGATCTCTGACATCTCTTCGTGACGAGCTAAGGGTAGCTCGTGGGATTGCTGATCGGTCTCGGGATGAAATAACCGCTCTTCAGACCCTTGTCGATGCCCACCATCGGGAGCACAAGGCTCTCTGCGAGATGCTTGAGCGCAAGGGCGTTCTTCATCGGAAGAAGCAGCGTACTGATGGTACGGCTTAAGCCGACCAACGTAAAACGTGGGATGCGTTCGCATCTTACGTGGCAGTTCGATCGTGTACGCGTTGCCTAGGCGAAGCAATACACGAAATGAGCCGATGTACTTGGGTAGTAGTAAACTACTACCCAAGCTTTTCACTACGTGCTTTGGTAGATTAACCGTAGACAGTAGGACTAAGTCACCTTTATTAAATAAGAGAGTATTTGCCATTCCATTTTTGTCTGCGTTTTGCTTATCCACTGCTTCGGCGATGGAGTCTTGCACAAAACGGACTACCGTTTCACGAACCAGTATGAACTCATCTGCTGACTCGTTAGCCTCAGTGCGCTGTGAGTGCATGCAGCGACATCAATCTTTTTTCAGTGAGGGCTTCCTCGCTCTCAATGGCATCATCTTCTTCGATATCGATGTTGTCTACATCGGCATCAAACGCAATGACCTCTTCGTCAGAGCGTGATGAGCGTGAACCAAATCGGTTTTTGCTCGCGCGAGTCCCTCCCACCCTTTAAACAAGAGTTACACTCTAGTAAGGTGGGTACACGCGGATGGCGCAAGCCATTCACGCAAAACGGTGTATGTGTCGTGGACGCATGCATCGAGTTGTTAATGGCAAACTCTACCATTGGCAAGAACTCACTCCAACTCTTTATGGAGTTCACGTATCCTCGAAGTATCTCTTCGAGGACTCAATTGGCACGTTCCGTCCGACCATCTGACTCGGGATGATCAGATGTCGACATCTTCAAGCGCGTTCCGAGTGATTTGAACACGGAACGCCAGAAATCAGCAGTGAAGCGTGGACATCTGTCTGATACGAATTCAAGGGGTAACCCACGAAGTCGGAATATGATGTCAATAAAGACACAAGCACAGCCACTAACCGTGATTGTCTCGGGTACAGCCACAAGGTGTACCATTTTGCTGAATCTGTCAACAAATGCTAGAATACCCGTATTCTTGCGTGCGTCTTTAGGTAACCCGAAGACGAAATCCATTGAGATGGATTCCCAGCACTCTGCCAAAACTGGTAGAGGCTGTAAAGGTGCACGCAGTGAAGGACTTGACTTCACTCGTTGGCAGACTTCGCATGCGCGAACATACTTTCGCACAAACTGGTACTGGCGGGGCCAGTAAAAGTCTCGACTTACCGTGAGATATGTTTTCTCTCGGCCACGATGTCCTCCTATAGGAGCATCGTGATACTCGAACATGATCCGCAAACGCAGATCAGTATCATCTGGAATGACAACACGTGGTGTGTCACCAGAAACGGCTGTATAATACAGTAAACCGTTGCGAGTAGTGTATCGATCTGATGCAGATTGATACGCAGACGACAATCGTTCAACGATTCTCGGGATGGTTGGGAGAGATGTGTCAAAAACTTCACAATCTCACCATCTTGGGCGTATGCCCGCCTCACATCATCATACAACGTTGTAGATGGGACTGAGGACGTCATAACCGCAACAGTGACTGTCTCACTGTTGGGTTTCACGACTGGTTCAAAGTCGGGACGACGTGAGAGTGCATCAGCGACGACATAAGGTCGTCCTGGGTTGTACTCGACCGTAAAGTTGTATTCTGCGAAGAATGACAACCACCGCGCCATTCGTTGTGAAAGGTGCGGGCTGTCCACTGCCGTGCGTAATGACGCATGGTCAGTGTGAACAATGAAGGGTCTATCTCCTAATAGATAGACTCTGAACTTCGCGAGTGCATACTTCATGGCAAGGAGTTCCTTGTGATGCACTGGATAGTTCCGCTCAGCTGGTTGCAGCTGACACGACTGATAGCAGACGACGCGTTCAACGCCTTCAACATCGTACTGCATTAATGCACAGCCGATTGCGAAATCGCTGGCATCACAGACCACATGAAATGGCCTGTCCTGATCGGCTATTGCCAGGACTGGGGATTGTATAAAGCTCTGCTTGATACCATCAAAGGAGCGCTGACATTCAGCGTTCCATAACCACCTCTCGTTCTTTTTCAACAAACGAGAGAGATGCACAGTCATCTCGGCGTAATTGCGTGAATACTTATGCAAATACGCCGCTAGCCCAATGAATTTTCGAAGACCTTTGACATCAACCGGCACAGGCCAGTCGCTGATCGCCTTGATCTTTTCGGGATCAGGACGTACACTGTTCTGACCAACGATGCACCCAAAAGTGGTATTTCGCTTGCTGCAAATATACACTTCTTGAGGTTAGCATACAATTGATGCTTTCGCATGATTGTAAGAACCTGTCGGACGTGGTACCTGTGAACCTCAACGTCCGACTTTCCATCCATAGCTCGACTATGGAGGAATACACCATCGAAATAACTCGGCGTGAATACTCGTACTGATCTCAATAGATAAGATACACATCTGTTGAACGTGGCAGGGGTATTGCTAAGCCCTTGTGGAATTACTAGCCATTCCCAGAGCATGCCGCTGGGCGTGCGTACTGCGGTATAGGGTATGTCCCATTCTCGCATAAGGAAATGATAAAATTCATCCATCATATCCATGGACGAAAAAATGGTACTTTTTGCCATACCATCAATCAGGACGTCCTTCCTTGGTATAGGCGTCTGAGCCGGTACCGTTGCAGCATTCAACTTGTTGAATGCATGCACTATCCGCCACCCTCCTGTTGCTTTCGCACACAGAAAGTCGGGGACCTATGTGGGGAAGTTGATTCCCTCACATGGCCCTCAGCTAAACTATCGCCAAAGAACTTGTCGATCGCAAGTACTTGTTCACGTGGCAGTGGCCACTGCTTCATGACACAGTACTTCGAGCCTGGTTTAAGCTCGACCTCGTGTCGAGTACCTTAATCCTTCGGTAATTCGCACGGAACAGTTTCAGGGAATACATCCTTGAATTCAACCAAATCTTCATAGAGAGGATTTTTCTTGAGCGATTCCCACGATTGGTAGCCATATCGCTCAATTCGTGTCTTTTCATCTAGGACACTCTCGTCCATAAATGAACTACTGAGAACTCTCTCGTTCTCAGTAAACACTGTTGCTGATCTTGTGTCGGCTACACACTCGTCGTCAGCGACGAGTACGCAGATCTGCTTGACTTTGCCACTACGCAGATCACGCAAGAACCTTTTATGTTCGAGCGTTGACAACTGAGTGATCTCCGAAGTCAACTTCGGAGGCGCAATCAGATCAAGTGTATAAGCGCCTACACTTGATCCGTTATTGACTATGACATTCAATATCTCTGTCATTTCCTGGGGACTTATTCCCTCAGGCCTCGAAGGACTTATTCCTTCGGCTTCCCGGGGACTTATTCCCGCGGGTTTCGGGAACTTATTTCCGCCTTATTTGTAATCTTGGGACTTATTCCCTTTACTTCCTCTAGCTGTGGTCGCGCAACCACAGCGAGATCCTCTACGAAAGACTCTCCATTTGATCTAGGATTATCGTTTCGCTTAACCTGAGCGATCGGTTGTTTATCTTCTAGATGTTCCCTACCAGGGATACATCTTTGTCCCGGTCCACTCGACTTATTCGAGTGATGGACCATCGGCGCAGCCTGTGTTTCCTCACAGCCACCGGAACTTTGCTCCGAAGTGTAACCGTTTGTTACACTAAGGTTTTGTGCAGTCGTACTAACGACCGTACCACAAGTGAGGCCATCGCACTCACTCGTAGTACATCCACACGCTTGTGGACACTCCAAAACGTTCATCAGATGGCCATCTGATGAACAAGCGGCAGGCATCGTTACTGTTCGATGTTGCCAGTTTACCCGTGGTTCGTACCTTCTGAGCCACGGTATTCCAAGGGTGACATCAAATTTGTCATCCAAATCCAATACGATAAAGTCATCGTCATATTGGTTATCTTCTAGCGTATAGTGGATCTTCACTATACGCTTCATGACGGTTACGGATGTGCCTGTCGCAAGACGTACCGTCATCCTCGTAGAAGGTGTGTCACATTCACTGAACTTAAAGTGACTATCTTCTAGCTATCGGCGTTGCACAAAATTGTTGGACGCCCCACAATCGACTAGAGCTCGAAGGGACAACTTATTCGTCACTTCGAGTTTCAAGGTAATGAGTGAGATCTCATTACCTAGAGCAGCAACGCACAACGTTTGTGTGTTGGGAGCAACCTTCATCAAGAGGCCTATAACTTCTCTTGACGTTGCTGGACCAGTAGGGTGCTCCGCACCTACTGATCCTGTCCGTTTTTTGACGGTCCATCCCGTCGTTGCGTCTTTGCGCCAACAGCGGACCCTCGTCCCTGCCCCTTTCTCATGGGTGGACGGTCACTACGCCCAGTGTCGCGAGACACTGGACGAGGGGCACTACACTCGTAAGCGTAGTGTCCTGTCTTTTGACATCTATTGCATTTCTGCAACTTCTTGTAGTCTGTAGAGCGAGCCTTCTCGCTCTCTACATAACCGAGTTCCATCGGCTCTGGACCTCCGCTGTCACATCGCCTCGGTTGACGATATGATGTCGAGCTGGCGCGAGACTGTCTCAGACTGAAGTCTTCCTGCTCCGCAATGGAAATGGCTTGTTCTAGTGAATCTAGTTCAAGCCGGAACAGGTGAGTCTTGACGGGACCATCCGCAATACCCTGCATGAACACCGAAACCAACGTGTGTTCATCAACCGGATTGGAACTTATACAACTCGTAAGATGTCGTATATGTTGCGCGTAAGCGTTCACATCACGCTTACCTTTCTTGAGCTTCAAGAGTTCAGTTCGAGCTCTGAACTCAGCTCTAGGCGGTTCAAACGTTTGTCTGAGCCGCGACTTGAAGACTTCCAACGACCCAAACGCATATGGGTCGTGCAACTTGAGCCCCAGTGCCCAAGTCTTGGCACGTCCTGCCAGATTTGATTGAGCAAATGCAACTTGCATATCCCCGTCGTCGATGCGACGCGCCTTTATGGCGTCATCCAATTCAACGAACCATCTCAAGAGGGAGTCCTCTTCGACTCCCCTACACTTGGAGATGTCAATGTTCAAGGTCTCGGGTCGACGCGAATGCATCGACCCACCAGCAGCAGCCTGCTGCTGTCTCAACAGTTCAAACTGTTGAGCACCCTGTTCTCTCAACAACTCTGCTTGTTGAGAACCTTGTTGGTGAAGCAAGGCTACTTTCTCTCGTTCTGCGTCAAGTTCATTTTATATGAACTTGGCGATAGTAGCATGTTGGGCATCTCTATCGAAAGCCTCTAGCATGACGCTAACAGCATGGATGCCCATTATTGAACCCATCCGTTCAACCGCATCCCATTCGACATCGCTTAAATGGGAGTAGCCGTCACGCGTAGCGTAAAAGCTTTGGTCATCTTCATCATTTAACATATTCCTGTTAGATGTGAACGTGGTCCTTGGACGGACTACGAAGTGCTACCAGGTGTAACGGGGCACCCTGAAGCTTGTACTGATGACAGTACAAGCTACTTATTCTGACGACAGAATAAGTCGCTGCCGCGTAACTTCACGTACACTGGTACGTGCAGAGGAAGACGGTAAGGAGAAGCGAGTACTTGGTTAAAGTAAAAAGTAGAACTGTATTTATAATAGTTAATGTCTGCAATAAATCACTATTTATCTTCATCTAACTATGTCTAAATACAAATGTGTAAATCGATTATCTGCTCACCACTCATTGCGTGCGTCTGTCGTGGCGCGTCTTCGTTGGTTGATATAATGGCTTATATCAACCAATCAGGAACTACTCGTAAGTGCTACAGAATATTGTCCTTATGACAATATTCTGAGAATATAACTCTTATAGTTATATTCTATTAACAATTTCTAATAAATTGTATTTTAACGATTCACCCCGTTACTGCACCAGTCAGCCCCTACAAACCGATAAGATACTCTACATCTCTTTCAGTGGGATATCATCCGTGTGTCTAAGACACAGGGTACCAGGTACCCGACTACGTGTGTCCCCTTTGCCTATGACCTCTGTCTTTTTGCACCTATGCTTATGTCAGCATCTATGTAAGCTTGTAGTTAGGCTTGAATTGAAATTGAACGCGTCTGCTGTGCACTATAAAGACCCCTACATTACTGAATCTCGCGATCGAAACGGTAAGCATGAAAGATGGCCGCTGACGGCGTAATATGTCAGTCGATGTATCGATTTAAAGACTGCATTCGCTGGCACAACATTCCGGGTGCACTGACGCCTTCGCCAGTTTGGCGTGCATGCTATACTCAACTATGTCGGAAAATATTGCTACAACATTGTTAACTTTTAACAACAAGTTTACATTAACGAAGTGACGTGAAAAAATAATACGAAATCGACTGTGGTTAGCTGTTTCATACCTCCTTTCTGCCACTGCATCCTTTACGTCGTCTATAACGAATAGTATTCATTTGGGATCGTCACGAGCATGAAGCTACTACAGATCCCATCGCTGTTGACTCTGTAGTATTTTATGAAAAAATGCTCTTGACCGTCCACGGGCCTGCTGCGTTCACTTAACGTGCATACAGACACGTGGCACCAAAGATCATGTGGTGACTAGTCTGCTTTATCCTTCGTCAGGCCTTGCGCGCTTTCGCTCGAAGCCTCTCACTCTTTCGCTGCGTGTGCACGTGAAGATCCAATTGCACTTCATTTGTGAGTTCAGTGAACGTCGAGCACTCGAATGTGAGAAAGAAGAACGTCAGGATGTACTCGGCCACACTGATTATGCCGAACAGCAGTACGGCTGCCCAAGACCACCTTGACACCATGATCGACATCACATGGGTCACACATACCGCAAGTGCTGCTGCGAAGAAGGCCACAGCACGCCAAAGCCGAGTTCGTCGAGCCATAATCGCCCCGTTGCGACCAACGAGCAACATATTCAGTACCTCTCGAAGGCACGCGACATCTGCTGCAGCCTTTTCCTCCTCGCTCTGATCTTGCTCTTGTTTGTCACAGTAAGAGCATGTTGTAGTCGGACAAGAATGAGCGACTACTGTCGCCTTCAGAGATCCTTTTCCGTCCAAGGGTAGCACCTCAGCGTTCACCGCCTTTCGTTCACAAATGTGTGGTCGTGCTTCACTAAACACAAACTCGGCACTGACTCCAAAATGGTCCGACAAGGGCGTCGTGTCCCCTCTAGCATCAATGAAAAATTCCTTAAAGATACTGCTTTTCACCAAGTGCCAATTCGACTCGCGCTCGTGCTGTCGATTGATCCTATACATGACGTAATCCATCCGCATTGGATGTTCACCATGTGAGTACTTGTTGTCAGGCGACGCAAACGTTAATCCATTTTCATCATCGTTCGTGTCGGTATACGCGTCTCGAAGACACAGCAACTGTCGCGGCACTTTTAGCTCCAAACAGTCCGGCGACGAATTAAAATCGCCACATACAATCGTCAAGTCGCTGCGACTTGTCGCCAAGATAAACTGCGTAAGTTCGTAGCTCTGACCGACTCGATGCGATTGATAGAAATCACCTGGCCCCGGTTCTCCTCGACTATTGTAGTTGGCCAGCAAATGCGTCGCGTACACATCAATTTGTCCTGCAGGGGTTTCGACCCGGAGCAAACCCACACCTTTATTCGCAATAAAGTCCGACTCGTGGAGGGCGTACGGCCGTCCGCTGAGCCCAAAAGAGTGATAAAGAGCACTTGAGACGGGAAACGTCGACAAGACCAACAGTCCCGTGCCAAATGAGTCGGCACCCATTGGAAATGGAAACCCCACAGCGGAATTAAAGTAGTGGTAGTAATGGAATCCATTCTTCTGAGCTTTAGCAATGATCAAGTTCCGTTCGCGAACGTGCCAGATTTCCTGCAGCACAACCAGGTCATAGGCATTAGAAATAGCATTGGCGATATTCACGGCGCGCTCCGTGCACTTGGGGGCTACAGGCAAACCTGGATGGACATTACAGAGCGAGCATTCCTATCACGTTTCTATCACTTTTTTCTAATTGCAAAAGCCAAGCACAGAGGAAAAACACGGACCCCAGGCGTTGAGGCTGAGCACGCGGAGCTTCACTTGCTGCTTATCTTGATCGGTCCAGTGCGGCCACAGCGCTCGACACGGCGAGGGAGTTGCGACAGGGTCGAGCTTGAGCCACTCCAGTAGCACGCGCTGCAGGACGTGCTCCTGCATTTCTATCGAGCGAGGTAGAAATTAGACTCACGTAAGACACAGCAAGTTCGACACTAAAGTGAAAGTGACGACAACGATTTGAACAAACAGCGTGGAAAAGACACACGGACAATCCAGAATTCGACAGATCCCTATGTATTCTTCGATGTTGTGGTTCGTCAATTCGATCGGATCAGTCGTTACAACTCTGTGATTCGATAAAAATCAATAACACGACATTGTCGTCGGTCAACGGCCTGTCTCTTCCTGGATTTGATACAATTGTCGTCGTCAGTCGGTCAGTCAATGAATATCAAAGTCTCGTCGTCAGTTGGTCAGGTTCTTATTGCCGGCCTGTTGACACATCGGTTGATGAGTCGATACTCAGCGACAAAAAAACCACGAGACAAAAAGTGGTACGCTTTTGTACCTTGTAAGACCTCGGCCATGTACCCGAATTTCATCGTGGTAATTAGTTGAAACAGGATGGATTGACGCGGTAGCTGAGATGATAACAAGTACACACGTTTGACAGATTGAGGATTACATGTAGGTCGGCTTCAACTTGGATTCAAGACTCTACTTTATTGAAACACTAGCTCGATATGGAATTCATCGTCCTGAAGTCGTTACGAAGAAACGTATCAAATAAACGTTGCAGCTCTGGATGCACAACCCAAGACATTTGACCGTAGGATTGTAGACGTCAGCGCTACTTCCAACAACTGTTCTACATGTCCTAAGAGCTGTTGCCCTGTGGCAGCACCGCAATTACATTGTAGCAACGTTTGGTTCATTGTGAAAGGCAATTCTTGTCATTAGACGCAGCAACTCAATTGCCTTGCACTAATTCCTTTAGATAAATGGAGTGGGTGAGTATGAGCTGCAAGAGCGGCATTGGTATATGAACTACGCAATCACGTCAGCTGGGCAAAAAGTCTCCACAGAGTACTTGCAATGTATATGTAATCTTGCGTCCAAGAAGCAATTCTAGCACTAGTTGGAAGGAAATAGCCAACGGAGAATTATCCGTTGTAATTGCGACAGCTTTTTATGCGAAAGCGGGGACGATTACGGCCAAAAGAAGCGATGCTCCAGCAACCTCACTTAACACTGCACATAAATACTAAATGTCGTGCAGCCATCTATGATGCGTCAACATGTGGTACTATGCACCGGTCGTTAGGTGCTACCGTGACTATCAATGAGACAAGAGTGTTCCGATCTCTTCGATCATTTAACGGCTGAAAGATAAATAATTACGCTGCCGTTTAAAATAATGAGGCAAGTCATTGTATCATTTTCAATCAGACTTTCAGATGACAACAACACGCTCAGCAATTCGAATTTGTCTTTAATAAATCGGCTGATTCGCTGCGGTAGCTGGCGCGTATCTAAAGGCATTAATTGACCAAATAGACGTCTGGTCTCTTGAGATCATTGCAAGCCAGGAGGGGGAAGCTATCACTAACTGTGCGCAAGGTTGAATGCCATACTTTTAGAACGTACTTATCTGTGTCTGTTCTTTTTGTTAAAAAATAACCCGGTTAGGTGTACCTCACACCTACTAAGTGCAATGTAGCCTGTCCTCTATAGAAACGTTGCAAATGAGACTCATTATAGCACACGTTTTAAACAAATGTTAGATTTGAGAAAGAACGTTATATACTGGAAAACGTTAGTCACCCCCCCAGGTTTTCGTTCACCACCACCCCTACCAATTTAAGATAGGAGAGCAAGCTCTGGGGCGCTCCCTTTGATAAAAGTACATCAGTTAGGAGAACTGAATCATGTTAAAAAGCACTATACAGCAGCAGTCACTGAAGAATGTGTATGATGCTGTAAATGTCTCTATTAAACCAGTACAGTAAACTTAAGCAACGCGATCGGCCTTTGCTTATTGCTGATGGCGTCGAGCATTT